TATTAGTAAAACTGGTAATATTACTAATATTGCCACCAATATCACCAGTTTCACCAATGTCACCAGTTTCACCAATACCACCAGTTTCACCAACACCACCAGTTTCACCAATATGACCAATAATACCGTTTCACCAGTTTCACCAATTTGACTATTATGGTGCACCGATGGTGCACCAGTTTCACTAGTTTCACCAGGTGAAATTAATTAGTTTCACCTGCAACTCTAGTACAAACACTAATTTCGATGAATCAAGAAAACCCACTCAAACAATAGGTTGCAGACCGGCAAATTACTATAAGATTTTAAGCCCTGATTAGACATTAGTATAATATATATAAATATGCTTAGGAGCGTCGATGGCGCCTCATTTACACTTGTAATTATGTATATTAATAGCTGATATTTTATGATTTGGGTATTATTATGGCAGAAATGACACCCAGACAAAGAAGACCTTACAATAAATATCTAAAAATATTTTTTTCACAATAGTATAGTGTGTGAATATTGTATTCGATTTAAGAATTATGTAAATAAAGTAAATATATATCTTATACTATTATTATGCATACAAGTTAATTAAATCGTAAAATCAATTGAAAATAAAGTTGGTTGGTAGCAGGGACGGTGAATACTTCCATTAAGAATAAAACGGAATAAAATGATAAATTATAGCAAATCAAATCTCGCTATTAATCACGTAATAATCTTCGGAAATTGAAAATTATTTTGAAAATTAAATTTTGGTTGGCTAAAAAGTTTTTTTTTTTGGTGATATCGTAATAAAATGAATAAAATGGAATAAATGGAATAATTGATGTTAGTATGATAAAAAATTTCCAATTTGATAGCGGAAGTATTCCCCATCCCTGGTTGGTAGACATGAAATTGATCGGGGCACGAACTTGATTGGGACTAGAGAAGGCTAGTGAGTGACTGGACTCTATTTTATTATAGTTATTCGTGTCATTTGAGTTACGAAATTAATAAGCAAATTAAATTAAATATATTTAATTCTCGAATGACTTAAATCACGAATAAGATAGGCAAGGTAATTACTTAATACGTAAAAAATTAAATCACGCAATGCGACAATTTTCTAATAATATATATCTGCAACTAATAAAATGCTAAATTGTCACGTTATATGATGAGAATAAGTGATTACCTTACCCATTTCTAATTTGGACAAGAAATTGATCGCATCATATACGAAATTAATTGCACCATATACGAATTTGGTTGCATCATATACGAATTTGGTTGCATCATATAAGAATTTGATTACATCATATAAGCATTTTATTCGAATTTAATTGCATCGTATATGAATTTGATTGTATATTATACGAATTTTGTCGACAAACCCATATTAAGTAATAAATTATTTTTATAGATTTTAACCCTAACACATTAATCGTGCATAGTAGTTCAACATTTTAAAGATTTCGTTGGAGTGTCTAGATAGGTATTATCTCAACAAATCAAATATAGTTAGGGTCACATATAGTATTCGCTTCAAATTTTTTTATACATATAGTTTTTCGTAGATACAAATTTAATAGAATATAAATGAATTTTTTAAAAATTGTTATAAAAATGGCCCTATTACAGTATGAAGTTATTCTGAAAAATCGTTTTCAAAAAAATACATAATTTTACCTGTTATTTAGACCAAAGAATATAATTTAATTTTAATAACCATGTCTAGTGTATTATCACATTTATATGATGTAAATGAGGAATTCTCACGGCAACTTGAGAAGCTTAAAGCAATCAAACCAAATTATGCAACAGAATCTCTCGAGACATCTTTTAATTGGGATGAAATAGCAACCAGCATTAAGGATGTCGAAGGAGAATGGTATGCCGTTGCTTTTCGATCTATCCGAAGAGTGGACGCAGATAATAAATTATTGTATGAAGCTGATGCTAAAGCTTACAATGAAGCAATGCTTCATGGAGGTTTGCTCAAGGTAAATATTAACTCAGTTGTAAATTAGCTTTTATATTCTAATATTATTTATACTATTCCTTTTCATAAATTTGAAAGTATTGGATCGGTGAATTAAATCAATATCGAGAATGCCTCTCAATGTGCATTTGGACAAATAGAGATGATTCAATTAAAGCAACTCAAAATCGTCTTCATGCTGATGCAAAGAGATTAACTAACTCAATGTATGAAACCTATACCTTAGAAAGGTATAAGTTGAAGAAGACAAAGGGCGAGACCAAGATTAACATACATCGAATTTTTTGAAACATTATAGATTTTTGAGCCAAATAAATACATCGGGTATTTATTTAACCATCTATAGAACCAAGATAAATTTTCTTATTCGACTTATTTTTTATTTAAAAGCTAGTAGAAGTTAGTAGAAGCATAACCTTTTAGTGAACTTATTCTAATGTATATTAAACGATATTATGTAACTTAAATACTAAATGTGAAAAGTATCATAATATAAATATAGAATTGTCATTTTATACTCGCTCGCTAAACTATTGTATTGTGAAGGATAAATAATGATAAACATGTTTTCGATTTTAAATATGCCAACGGCATTCACAAATAAAATATATTTATATCCACTGATCAATTTAATGCGAATAAAACTAAGTATAATTAAAAAAATTTATACTCATCGATTAAGTACCAGGAACGAGTACAAAGTACAAAGAGTATGGTTTACTAGAAAGTTAACGTAAAATGGGTTGGCGATTCTTGTCATCTGATTGGATGTTGCATGCATTTGAACTCTGCTTATCTAAAAACACCGATCTATAATATTATGTGTTTACGATATATTAATTTTCTTTGGGTGTTCTCAAGCATCTCAATCAATCAATTAAATAATGATCATGATAACGCTCAAGCATCTCAGTCAATGACGGCA